CTGGAAGTGAAAGCACCAGAAAATAATTTAAGTCGTACGCAGCTGTCATCCGCACGCAACGAAGAAAGCACAAGATGCCGAACACACTTAGCAGGACGCAGCGCACCCTTCATGCGACTCGCCGAACACCTCACGGCGCTTCGCGCTTGGTGATGTGAGAGCCTGGTCCGGTGAGAACCCGGCGAGCTCCGTCCCGGCTTTGTAGGGATGCGAGGTCAATGGTCTAACGACTACGGCATGCACGACTATTAGTACCCCCCCCCCCCCTCCACATATACACATATCGACAACACCTAGACGCGTGTAACCTACAGCAGTGTACTACTGATACCTCCCGCCTCCCGCCGAGCGTGCCGCCGGCGCCGAGGCCGGGCGCCAGCAGCCTCGCCCGGAAATCTCGTCCGCCGTACAGGATCCTCGGACTGGCGCAGGGGCTGCTGCTCACGGCCCTCTTCTCCGGGGCGGCGGCGGCGGCGGCGGCTGCGGCCGCTGCCGGCTTGATCGCTGCTGCTACTGGTGCTGCTGGTGCTGCCTCTGCGGGCGAAGCAGGAGGAGCTGTTGCTGTCGCTGCCGCTGCCGTTTTAGGCGTGACTGCTGGGGTTGCTGCTACGACCGTTGCCGGGACGGCGACAGCAGCCGTTCCCGTCGGCGTTCCTCCCGTTGGCGTCAGCACGGCGGTTGATGTCGGCGTTGCGCCCCCCTCCGATGCTGCTGCTGCTGCTGACGCTTCTGCTTCCCCTGTTGTTGCCAGCAGCGCTGGCGCCGGTTGCGCCTGCTGCTGCGCGACCCCGGCGCTCTCCGCCGATTCTGCTCCTGAAACGGCCATCGGCACCGGACCCGGCGTCGTGGCGGCGGGAGGTTGTTCACCCCCCTGCACTACCGTTTGGTTGCTGCTCGGCGCCTCCTCCTCCTCCTGCCCTGCCACCACAGTCGAGCCCGTCGTCGAAGCGCTAACCGTGGCGGCAACAAGCCCATCATCCTTCACCCCGTCGGTGGCCTCGCGCTCGGCGACCGGCGACACGCCGGAGGCGTCTGCGTCTGCGTCTGCGGCCGCCGGCGCCGGCGCCGGCGCCACCTCAACAGCACCGCCCGCCGGGTGGTGTTGCTCGTTGCCAACCGGTGGTGCGGCGGCTTGGACGACGATGGTGGGCGGAGCGGTCGTCGCAGCAGCCGGCGTGTCTGTGCCGGGCGATTGGGCAGCCTTTCCCCGCGCCACCGCCGCCGCCAACTCCTCCGCGTTTGTAACGGCAGCCTCCGCGGCCCGCGCCGCCTCCGCCGCGCGCTGAGTCGCCAAGTCTCTCGCGGCGACCGCCCTGGCCGCGATAGCCTTCTTCTCGGCCACCTCCCTCCTCTTGGCCTGCATGCGCTCCTCCTCCTCCTCGGGGGTCCCGATTGATCGGATGGCACTACCGCTACTACTACTACTGCCCCCCCCGCCCTCATCGCCACTGCAGTCGCTCTTGCTTTTGCGGATGATACCCCCTTTCCTAATCCCCCCGGCGAGTGAAGATGGCGTCGGTGACGCCGAGTTGCGCCGTAGCTGTCCGAGGGTAGGCAGTGCGCTGGAGGAGGGTCAAGAGGGGTAGCGAGCAGCAGCAGCGGCGGTTGTTGGGTTGGGTGGGTGTCGTGGGTCGGCCGAGTGAGGATGCAGCGGCCACAAACAAGAGAGACACGCCAAGGTACTCAGTACTGAAAATCCGTTCCACTCGACTCCGCTGCGCACCCAGCACCCACTGGGGCCATGTATAGGATTCACTTGTTACAGTGAGCTGCTGCAGTCTCAGGTCATACCTGTTGTAAGTACTAGTGGCAAGAAAGAACAAACTCGATCGGCTTAAAAACAAATTTTCTGTTTCCACGAAAAAAACATTCTAACGTCGGTTGAGAAGTGAAGGGTTCCACTCGACAACCAGCTGTCGCCCCCCTCCCCCAAAACAAGGAAACCAAAGTGTCATCCTCTCCTCCTCCAAACGCGGGACAAACGCAGGAGAGCTCCTTCTACGAACTAAAAAATGGCCACGCAACCAACCGGCACACGCTCACCTCCTCTTGAACTCCAGATTAGGCTTCGGCGACGCCCCGCTGTTCGCCAATCGCCTCGCGGTCGTGAAAGAGCCGCCGTTTGCGGCGAGAGCCTTGTCGCGGATCTCCCGCCACTTCTGGTTCCCGGGCCTCGCTCTCTCGCTCCCGCCCCTCCCGCTCAACGAATCCCCGACGTCCTTCGATGCCGCCTCCACCGAAAAAAATCCGCCGCCACCGCCGCCGCCGCCGCCGCCGCCGCCGCTAGCAGCAGCACGGGAGGAAGGAGGACCAGAGGCCGCTTCCGTGGCTGCTCCGCCAGGAGTTGCCGACGTCGACGGCCTGGCGGTCGACGGGACGCCGCCGTCGCCGTCGCCGCTTCTCCTGGCGGCCTCACCCGAGGCCATAGCAGCTGCGGCCGGTTGCGGCGACGACGAATGCGCCGGCGGAGATATGGTGTCTTCTCGCATCAAGGCCGTGGACCCCCGGTGCCACACCTCCTCTGCCTCCACTTCCTCCTGCGACTTTGCCCCGAACATGCCTCCGAGCGAGCGGGCGGAGAACTCCTCCGCCGGCATGCGCACGATGGGGGACACCTATGGACGGGGAAGACGCACAAGAACAAGGCCGTCCTCATTGCGTCGGAGTGCCATACAGCCGGGCTCCTCGAAGGAGGAGGCGGTGGCGGCGGGGCAGCTTATAATGACCGCCTTGCTTGGGGCAGCCGCCTTATTCAGTGTCTGGAACCAACTTGTAAAACCAGTCCATTTCACCCGCAATATATAGGGCGAACCGCCATATTCGGGGGCACCCACTGCTGAAAACAACCTGACTTGCTCGACATTTTGAGCGAGGGAATGTACACAGACACGCGCGAACACTCCAAAGCTTGGGCGTCAAAAGAGCAAAATACACCGACCACGTTTGCGTGGGGAGAAATGCATACGAGCAAACACTCACGTACCGCGCACAAAAACTATCTTCACGAAAAAAGCAAATCCACCCGTATCGGAGGCGAACATCAACTGGTAACTTCAGCTCTGCGCGTCTGAGATCGACAACATCTCGCGCGCTTGCAAAGACGACACGGCAGAGCCGGCCACAAAGAAACACAACATACACGCAACGCTATCGACGTACACACCGGTGCGTTCCCGTCTCCTAGATCGCCGCCGATGTCGGCGATGCTGCCGACGCTGCTCAAGCTACTACCACCGGCGGCGCCAGCGGCGGTGCTTCCCCCCCTCGCCCCCCCCTTCCCGTCTGCTGTTGCTCGAAAGCCCACGCCGCCGCCGCCGCCGCTGGTGCCGCCGCCGCCGCCGCCGGGATTCCCCACCGGGAAGCTCGACGCCGTCCGCGGCTGTACGAGAGGGGACATCGGTTTCGATGGAGTCGGGGGCATGTCCTGCTCAATCACGCGGTGGAGGGGAGGGGGTATTTGTTGTTGACAGCTCGGTATTTGCAATGTCATTCAAGGCACCGGGCGGGGGGTGTCGATGCAGCGATCGAAGGTTGGCTAACGTGAACCTCACGTGGGCTAGGCGGATCATACTTCGCGCCGTTGCCTCCGCGAAACCACATCGTCCCCCTTGTACAGTCGTCCCCCTTGTACAGCAGGGCGGAAAGAGGGGGGAACATGTTCTCACGAAAATCGAAATCATGGAAGCACGCAATGAACCTAAACGCGGCGGGTCTGAGATACATGGTCATCCACACTTGACAGGAACCGGAGCTTGCTCGTTTCCTTTCATGCGCGCGCAACGCGTATAGGACGTGAACACTTTTGGACCAGCACTACCATACAGCTATTATATAGAGGTGTTTGTAGCACAGTAGCTAAAAATCCGTCGCGGAAATAATTCATTGGGACATACGATTCTAGGATTTGCAGTGTCTGCATAACAAAAGTAGAATGGTTACTGGAGTGTGAATCGATTTTCACCGACTTTCGCAGGTCGACTGCATCTCTGCAGTGGCGATCACGTCAAACATACATCTATGCGTAAAAAATAAAAAAAAAACGCACGACGAAAAGGGAAAGAAACCTGCTGTACGTACTGGCACACGAAAGAGCGTTGTTCGCGGATGAACGCTGCCAGCTGGACAAATGCTCACCCCTTGTCCGAAAGGAAAAGCACCGACTTTGCTCCACGCGAAGTCGCTGCCGCCGCCGCCCCCGCCGCCACCATTACGAGCATGCTCCGCCTGCATTGGGGCGTGCCACACCGATGCGTCAAAACACAAAAATGCACAAGAAACAGTGGCTTGACGCGCACCCAAAATCCAACACACCACCGAGAAACCAGTGTACCTACTTCCTCCTACCACCGCGGGCCACAAGACAAAGTCAGCCTGGTTAGGTTCGGTTCGGCTAGGTTAGGTTAGGCTAAGCTAGCGCCGCCGATTTACAACTAAAAGAAACACACGACACGACAAAAAAATCGATTTCAAATAAGCATACAGAACAACCACATACACAGTCCACAATTGAAAGAAGCACACAACACAAAAACACAGAATACAAATGCTTACCTTCTGATTGCCGCCGCTTCCAGCAGGAGCAGCAGCAGCAGCGGCGGCAGCAGCAGCAGGGACGGCACCCGGCGGAAGCTCCACCTGCACCCATCCCCCCCCTGCGCGAGACTCGGCTGCCGCCTTGCTGAGCTTCCGACTCTCGGCGGTGGGCGACCGCGGCAGAAGCGATCGGTCGAAGGCCTGTTGCTGCTGCTGCTGCTGCCGCCCCGTCTTTTCTCCCGCCGACTCGTCACCGGAAGACGAGGTGTTGATCCGTAATCCGCTCCGGTTTTGTCTCTGGTACGGCCACACGGTATCGTCCAAAAAAAACAGGGGGCACCGTCCGGGGGGACAGGGTATGTGTGTGTGTGTGCACTCATGAAAGCGCATGTCGTAGCAGTCGTAGTCGTTAGACCATAGACCTAGCATCCCTACAACGCCTGCTTGTGCTCATTTGTGACGAGCACCGATAGCTGCTCCTCACGAGACGCCAATTGCTGTGTGTGTGTATGCGTGTCTGCACGGTAGTAAGTACGTTGTCGAACGCAGCCATTATCTTAAAGAAAAAAAACAAAAACAAAAAAAAATCGCTCTGTGAATGTACGAAAAAACGCTCCATCTTCCCAACGAGAAGAAAACGAAACACACAGATTCGCCGTCTCCCGTGTCTGTCTGTTTCACACCACCCTTGCATGTCTCCTCTGTCCCTACTCTTTTCGTCATCTACACAATACTTCTATCTTGACATCTATCTCTCTCTCACAGCTGCTTGTCGGCGCTGAGGGTGGACAAGGAGGGGTCCAGGAGGTGGGCTGTGAAGAGACCTTGCCTCAGACGCGCTCCCGCTTCGGGGCTGCCGACAAGAACGAGGGCAACAAGATGAAACACACGGCACGCCGAAAAGCACCTGGATTAACAGCACGGCGTCAGAGACTCCCCGCCAATACCACCCAGTGCGGATCATCAACAAGCACAGTCCAGCACAAACTCCACGGGCCTAAGCTCTACGGTAGTTTTGACGAGCACNAACACTAGGACTCACCACACGAGGAGGCGTTCCGAACGCCGACTTGTTCGTCGGCGATATCGACGACGACGACGATTTCGCCGCCGCCGCGGCCGCGGCCGCCGCCCCC